CGGCACGATCCTCTTTTTCTTCTGTCTTTGCCCCGAGAAGGGTGCCGACCCGCCAGTACGTCTAACGCGAACTCTCCGTCTAGCTCGCTTGAGCACGAATAAACATCTCTTCTCTTTTCCTAAAGCTAACCCTTTGACCTTTCTCTTCTCTATTCTTTTCCTTTTCTTGGAACTCTCCCCTGCCTCGAATCGCCTCAAGGGGGCTTCATCCTCCATTATGGCTTTTTCTTTCCCTTTTGGGTTGGTCAGTGATAAGGCGGGCGCGGGCCTGGGCCTGAACAACTTTAACCTAGCACCCGCCACTGGGTCCTTCCACTTGGATCCGTCGTATTCTGCTATCATATATGCACCCCAGTCGAGTGCCTCAACCACTCTGTAAGGTCTCATCCATCTGTTGGCGAGTTTTCCGGTCCTGGTTCTTTCCAGCGTTGCATCGTAGAGAAGGACCATATCTCCTACACTCACCCTCTCCTTCCTGATCCGGACGTTCATATCCCATCTCTCTTTACCCTTGTCCCTTTCCACTGCCAGACGATTTGCCGCTGTCACGAGGTTATCTTCCAAACCGTAGGCTATCTGTCTTGTTCGGGCAGCTAAGAGTTCCTCTCTGGACATCTCCTCCGCCCAGTCGACGGTTGTCCAGCTGTCGACGTGAAACTCTATGAGAAGCGGACAATGTCACCCAAACCACAAGGTGTACGGTGGGTATCCGGTACTAGCCCGGACCGTGACGTTGTCCGCCCATATTGCGTATCGAAAATATCGTGGCCAATCACTGTCCTTACCCTCGCACCACTTGGACAGTGACGCTATCAGAGTCTRGTGTCCCCTCTCTAMTGGGGAGTTCGACTGTGGGTGATAGGCAGTGGCTATCGAAACTCTCGTCCCACCTCTCCTGAACACGCTCTGAACCTCGTCGGCTAGGAATTCCGCCCCTCTGTCCATTACTATCTTGCTGACACAACCATACCTAGATAAGTACTCTAGGACAAAGTTCTTTACTTCCTTTGCCTTACTCCTTATAGGTCTACCGTCCACGAACCCAGTGAAATCGTCTCGTATGTTCACGACGTAGTTCATATTGCCTACCTCTTTCGGCATTTTCACTAGATCGATGTGTACCTTCTCCCCTGGTCTGGTCAGATAGGATGGATGAAGTGGCTCTTTGTATTTCACAAGAGCTCTCTTCTGACACTCTTCGCAGGTCCTACAATACCTCTCGACGTCCTTATACTGTCCTTCCCACCAGTACAACCTACATACCTTTTCGTAGGTTCCTTTGACTCCCCTGTGTCCTCCGACTACCTCGTCGTGAAGCTCCGCAACTATTGCCCGTCTCTCCTCAGGGTCACAGACTACTCGTAAGGGCATCCCCGAGCCGCTCTGCCTTCGAAACAGATGGCCAGCTCTAAGTTAGTATTGGGCCGCTTGTCTCCGGATATTTGATTCTTGACTCTCCTTTTCTGACAAATGTAGCCCGATCATTCGGTATTTTCCCTCGTAAAGGTTAACCAGAAAACGCTCGGTGGGTCCTGGCTCCGCCATAGTCAGGGCTCCACTTACTATCGGGCGCTCGGCCTCAAGAGGATGCGCGAAAGTCCATCTGCTACGGCATTATTAGTGCCAGATATCCTCTCAACTGTGTAATCGTATAACCCAATCCGTATTAACCATCGGGCGATGGTCGGGTCAGTCAGACTAAAGTCCTTCTGGAGGACAGAGGCTACCGCGGTGGGGTCTACTCTCAAGATGAACCGTCGCCCATAGATATAGTGTCTGAACGTGTCTAGACACCGGAGAATGGCTAACACTTCCTTCTTGAATTGATTGTAGTTACGCTCAGCCGTATTATGTGTCCTACTCTCAAATCTTAACGGTCTTTCATTCCCTCCAGCGTCCTTCTGAGACAGCAAACCACCTACTGAACATGGTCCAGCATCCGTGGATACTATGAAGGGTCTCTCGGTCTCATCCTCAAAGAATGGCATGCCCAACACGTGTCCTCCCTCCTTAAATTCGTCTTTAAGTTCTTGCATAGCGAGTTCCTGCGAAGAATCCCAGTAGAATTTTTCAGTCTTTCGAAGGAGTAACCTCAATGGCTCAGCCTTCTCCGCATACCCCCGTATGAATATTCGCTAGTAACCGACCACTCCTAGAAACTGTCGGACCTCGGTTGGGCTATGTAACGGTGACGGCCGGTTCAGAAGTTTGTATAACTTCGCCGGATCTGCTCGGCGTCCTCTCGAGTCATAGATAAAGCCCAAGATCTTAATAGTCGAGACGGCCCATCGGCTCTTTGTTCCGCTGACTGTTAAATTCGCATCGTCCAGCTGCTCGAGTACCGCGCAAATATTTGTTAGGTGCTGCTCGACGAATCTTCTAACTCCAGGTACAACCTCTGTCTCATCCCTGTCTACTGGCTCTTTTATAGGAAAGTCATCCAGAAAAACTTCAACCTTATCAGGGAAGAAATCCTTGAGGACGGCTACCATGGCTCTCTGGAAAACGGCTACCCCATTAGTCAAACCCATAGGGACAACCATGATTCGTATTAGTCCCAATGACGTATGCATAGCCGTGAGGTGCCTGTCCCTAGGGTCAAGCGGTACCTCATCATAACCTGAGAACAGATCACAGACTTAATAAATCGACCTACCTGAGGCGCCTTCTGCCAGTAAATCGGCATGTGGCAAGGAACCCATGTCTCGTATCGTCACCGCGTTGACCTTCTGAAGGTCCTAGATCCATCGGATCTTGTCATTTGGCTTTCGTAGGAAGAACCATCGATTTGCATAAGCGCTATCAGACGGCTCCGCAACGTGGGAAACCATTTTTTCTTTCAGGAAAGCTGTAACTTCTTCCTTCTCCTTCTGGGCGTATTTCCATCCTGCGTCATTCCAAGGAACATGTGGAATCGTGTAAATACTCGCTAGCTTAGCGTATCGAGGGTCAATCCTACCGCGCTCCGCGTCGCTGAAAGCTTTTGCCTTATCACATGTCTTCAGAATTTCTATCACACGTTCTCGCTCCTGTGGGGTCAGATTTCCATCTCCGATGTCYATCCCTATTATCCTCTCTTCCGTTAGGCGTTGTGGCTCCTTTTTCTTTCTTTCTTTGATTTCTTTCGCGATCTCTTCTTCCGATATCCCTTTCAGTGCAGATCGCTCGCGGCCTACCGCCGCAGGCTTAACTTTTTGAGCTACTCGCTTGTGTCGCTTGGGTAGCCCCCCATAGGGGGCCGTGCCCTTAAAAAAGACACGGATACCACACCGCCAAATTCCTCATCTTTTTCCTTTGGGTACGAGTTGCCGTCCACTATTAGCCGACGCCCTAAATCCTCCACCTCCACGATCCGACCTTCTTCCTCTGTCAGCAGTGGTCCATATTTCTTCACGCGAAATCGCACCTCGCGGCCGGAGATTGGTAACGACTTAATCTGTTCACTGGGTCTCGCACCCATAGCGAGAGCTACTCTGTTCCTCGGGTCCCGAGGCTCCACTGTCTCAATCATTACCCGCGTCCTGTCTAGCTTCCTAATGGACAATGTTTGGCTTCCATCAGGTCGCTCTATCGTCACCGCATGCACGTGGCTCAACCACGTTCGACCAAGAGCAGGTCGGAGCTGCAGTTCTTGACTGCAAAGACAGGCAGGGTCACTCGTACCCTTTGGACCTGTATGGCTGCCTTGTGACAAATCCCAGTGATCTGTTGCTTTCTCCCATCAGCCGTCTCTATCTCGAATAGGTATGACCTATCGAGGCCCAGTCCAACCTGTACTGCCAGGTCCTCGTCTATGATGACAGCCTCACTGCCGTTATCGATCACATCATCGAGTACCGCTCCATTTTTTATAATCGACTCCACGGCTCTGCTACCAAGTACATAAAACTTTTCTGGAGGCACACCTTCCATTCTATCGAGAAGGACTGTCGCCATGCGATCTGCTCTGGCAGTCACCCCCGTTACTGCTACTATAGGAGCTTCCGCCTTAGGGGCCCCCTGACCCTCCTCCGATAGAGGTATGCGAGTCTTTCGCGTGATCATCTATAACTCATCACGAGCCGGCTTCGATGCCGCCTGGTACTCCAGAATAGAGCACTGCATGGGTTGCCGAAGGGACCGCCTCAGTGGCTCGAGCGTGTCAATCTCGTTCAGCGAACTCTTCATTAAAAACTTCTTCACTCCCCTCTTTCGCGGCGAAAGGATAATCTCCTCTCCATCGACCCGCTGCCCGTCCTTCTCCGTCATCACGTAATCCGTGTCAGTCTTCTTCGATGTAGACCCTCTCGCCGACTTCGTGGCTGCCACCCTTATGGGTGTGGTCGCCATATCCCCCTGAAAGGTTATCTTGATGCTCTGGCTTCTGACCGGCTCCTTTTCTTTACTCGGCTTTACTCTCCTTGCTTCGACATTCTCCTTCATCGAAGGGAACATCGATACATCTCCCAGACCATCTGCCCACTTGACGTACTTGCGGCCGTCAAGCACGACAAGTCCCTCATCCATTGCCCATTTGAGGTCCGAGCAATCCCTCTTGATATGATCTTCTCCTCTACAGTAGACGCATGAGTTTCTGAGAGTAGATGGCCTGTCGTCTGCGCTTCTAGAGATCGAACCCCTGGCTGCCTTGGGGTCAGGCGACTTGGGATAAGGCTCTTATGAGGCGCCATATCCCCCTCTCTCATTTCGACCGCGCGAATCATTGCGGCGATCTCCTCCAGACCCTCCTTGGTCATACTGCCTTCGCGAATTATCCCGGCGGTCCCCTGTGTCATACCGCCCTCGTGACTCATCGTGTCGGTCCCCTCGGTTGTACCACCCGCGCGACTCGTCGCGCTGCTCTCTCGCATCTCCCCCGCGCTCAAACCGTCCGCGCGACCCATCTCGTCGTTCCCAGTCCCGATCTCCTCTTTCATACCTACCACCTCTGTAGCCATCTCGACCCGACCTCTCGTATCTGTCGTCCCCATATCCGTCTCGGTCCGATCTCTCGCATCTGTCGTCCCTATATTCATCTCGGTCCGATCTCTCGTATCTGTCGTTCCTATATCCATATCGTCGGCCCTGATCTGTCTCCCATCGGCCGCGGGAGTCGCCTCTACCCCGATCGGCCTCATAGCGAGGGCTTCGCGGGTAATCATCCAGCCTCCTTTCTCGCGCAAACGGCTCGCGATCTCTGCGGTCTCGGTCTATCTCATCATCCCTACGTCGCCATGGTTCATCGTCTCTCTCTCTCTTCCCTTCGTACGATGATCAGTCAGCGTCCGAGGATTTATATCCTCGACACTTCTCCAGGAATCGTTGTTCCTACGGTCCTAGCGAAGTGAATAGGGCCCTCCAGGTTTGTCCCGGTAGGCCGTGGCCCCTGTAGTGGACACAATCTCTGTAACCTGTCTCGTCAATCCCTTCACCATGTCTCGTTTCTTCTTCACTTCCTCAGCCACGGCCTCACATTTCTCCGACCAGGGATAGTCCTTGAAATCAGGACATCTATCCGTGGCATACTCCTTGTAGAGAGAGAAGTCACGTCTCCTCATCCCTCTCCACACCAAGTCTTTGTAATCGTCTGCCTCTGCCTTTATCGCGAGCTTTAGGACTTCTGGAAAATCAAGCCTATCGCGCGGAAGATCTCTTAGTATACTCTTCTGCCTGCCTTTGGACAAGTGTCCGATGAAGATAGTACAACGCTCGACCTCTGAGATTTTCCCCTTCTTCATCAGCACGTCGGAGATTTTCTGGAAACGCATCCCAAATGCCCGTACGCTCTCATCTTCATCTTGAGTCATTGTTTCAAGGTCCTTGATGAAATACTTATTGTCCTCCAATTTGTAAAGTTCAACGAGGTTCTTCTTGTAHGTAGTCCATTTTCCATCCTTCAGTCGAGCTTCCTTAACTTCCCTACCGAGACTTGGGTCCACATTAAATAGGAAGTTCTCTATAATCTCTTCCTCCGACCACTGACTCCGGCTGGCGTAAAGCTCCCACTTCTCCTGATATTCTGTGATACCATAGCCCCTGAAGGTAGGAGGCTCTGAGGCCTTGTGCGTAATAATATAGCGATCCTTGCTCTCATAAGGGAGTGTATGTGACTCCCCTGTCTGGGGGTCGAAGACTCGCCTGGGCGACGCCCTATCTCTATCTCTGTCCCTCCAATAGGAATCCCTCAAACTCTCTCTCCAGTCGTCTCTGTGCCTGTCCGCTATGGTGTCCCTCCGCTCGTACTCGGGGGAGCGTCGCCTCGTCGCTTCTCGTCGTCCGCTAGAGGTACCCGTCTTTAGAGCCTCCTGCGGCTCTGTCGCAACTGGTTCGCCTCTTACGTCGGGCCCTCCGTCATTGGTTTGCTCAGCCCATCTCAGCGGTGCTTCTTGCCTAATTCGTTCCTTCAGATCCCTCAGAGCTCGATCGGGTGATGGCCCGTACTCCTCTCCCACTTCGCCCGTGGTCGGTTGTGGCCCCATCGTGTCGGGTTCCATTGGACCGCCAGAAGACGCACTTAGGTATTCTTGCCAACTGTTACAGCCCGACCCTATGACAGTCGTTGCAGCCCGGACCTGTGACAGATGCGGCAGCCCGGACCTGTTTCCTTGTCACGGCTCTCGTCCACCTCCAATCTTAGCTCTCGACTGCCTTGATTACCACTTCCAGTATCCTGTTCCGGTCGCAGCTCTCGTGTCCTCCCTCTATCCTAAGAATCCCTGTGTCTAAGTAAACCTCTCCTTCGGGATCGGCCAGCAAGGCCGTGCCTCTCCGGATCTGCCGTACACCCGTTGTGAGGAAACCCGGGGAAGGGCGCCTACCGTTCGACGAAGCCAAGGGCTACGGCGCCTGTCACTCGCCGCGCCCGTCCCGAGGTCCTCAGCGACCGGCAGGCATCGAAGTCGGGGCTGCCCTGTCACGCTCCCTATTTTCACTTTCTTCCTTTTTGTAATTTAGCAGCTTCGATCARCAAGGAGTTCCAACAGTCAATTGGTATCACGCGTCAGTACGTTTCAGTGATCAATTAACAATTCAACCGATTCACGCACTAGGGGTTTTCAACAATCATCAGCCCCCCCCACGCAATGRTGAGTTTTTAGCAGTCATCCGGGAACAGCTACTAGGCCACCACAGCAAGTTTCTTTCTCTTTCTCCCCCTTTCGTTGTTCTCGCTCCCTWACTCACGCTGTTCTCGCTCCCTTAGTCTCGCTGCKCTCTCTCTCCCACTCTCGCTGCTCTCTCCCTCTCACTCTCGCTGCTCTCTCTCTCTCACTCTCGCTGCTCTCTCTCTCTCACTCAGTSTTTCTCCCTCTTTCTCTCTTTCTCTCTCACATACACACACACGCACACACACACAMACACTCTCACAGGCTGCTAATTCTATCCTCTTCCTCTTCTGTCCAAAATGAAACCCCAGTACAAGTCTGCCCCCCCCCTTCCCCTTGTCCAGCAGAAAGCCGGCTTTTGTTGCGAACTAGTTGTGTATGCCTAAAAAAAAAAATTAACAATTACCTTTTTTCATCCAGCCATAGGGGAACATAACATGTCTGTCCTTCTCCCCGACCTCCTCGTCATCAAAAGATGCGGAAATATGTCCCAAACTGTAGTTTAATCAGAAGATAGAAATGCTTGTTTGGAGTGTATCACTGAAACAGACTGTTTCCTCATTGAGGGCCGATTGAGACAGATCACTGGAGCTCGTTGTTCCCGCCTCCAGCGGGGGAAAAAAAGTAGAAATGCTTAATTGGAATGTATCACTGAAACTGGTTGTTCCCTCATTGAGGGCCGATTGA